TTTATTCTCAGTACTATATTTTGGTGACCCATGTGGCGTCCTAGCATACAGTGTTCGACAATTCTGTGAAAATGTTATTAAATTTGTTAGAAATCAAGGACTACTTATGTCTGTGTTGATATAGCATTTAAAGTACATTTCAATGAAAACATGTTTGGTACCTACATGTACTTAGGTTTACTGCCCATAATGTTAGGGTTTAAAGAAAGCAGTGTTAAAACTTGCAAAAAAAAATGTTTTTAATCAACCACAAAATACTGTAAACCGATTTTATTTCATGTGCATTCAATATTCGTGAGTTTTCATGAGTTATGAACAATTGTGATAGAGGTGTGTTGGAGATGGGTACATTGCAGCACTGAGGTGTTGGAGATAGGTATATTGCAGCACTGAGGTGTTGGAGATAGGTATATTGCAGCACTGAGGTGTTGGAGATAGGTATATTGTAGCACTGAGGTGTTGGGGATGGGTACATTGTAGCACTGAGGTGTTGGAGATGGGTACATTGCAGCACTGAGATGGGTACATTGCAGGACTGAGGTGTTGGAGATGAGTATATTGCAGCACTGAGGTGTTGGAGATGGGTACATTGTAGCACTGAGGTAATGGAGATGGGTACATTGTAGCACTGAGGTGTTGGAGATGGGTACATTGTAGCACTGAGGTGTTGGAGATGGGTACATTGCAGCACTGAGGTGTTGGAGATGGGTACATTGAAGCACTGAGGTGTTGGAGATGGGTACATTGAAGCACTGATGTGTTGGAGATGGTTACATTGCAGCACTGAGGTGTTGGAGATGGTTACATTGCAGCACTAATCTTTGCAAGTTGGGTACATTGTAGCTCTAAGATGTAATTTCCTAAAAATGATAGCAAACAAATAATAGCAATTTATCTAATATTGAAATTTCCTGGCATCAAGAATTGGTTTACAAAATACACCACATTGAAGGGCCATGCTGTTGTATGTTGATAGTGTATGGAGTAAAATTCTCTCTCAGTGTTGTAAATGCTCACTAAAAAGAACAGAAATTTGTCATCACTGTGATAATGTCACCATTAACCAAACAGAAAAATAAGTATAGTGATGGCTTGTAGGAGTGATTATATTCTTGTTATAAGGGTTACACCATTAGGATTTTAAATCAACCCCTAAAACTCTTATTCTTGTATATTAATATATTCTTCCTGAATTGATCATTTGTAGGTGCATGTGATATTTTGATAATGTCAGGCTTGTATACCATGCGATACAGGCTTGTATACCATGCGATACAGGCTTGTATACCATGCGATACAGGCTTGTATACCATGCGATACAGGCTTGTATACCATGCGATACAGGCTTGTATACCATGCGATACAGGCTTGGCTACCATGCGATACAGGCTTGTATACCATGCGATACAGGCTTGTATACCATGCGATACAGGCTTGACCATGCGATACAGGCTTGGCAACCATGCGATACAGGCTTGGCAACCATGCGATACAGGCTTGGCTACCATGCGATACAGGCTTGTATACCATGCGATACAGGCTTGTATACCATGCGATACAGGCTTGTATACCATGCGATACAGGCTTGTATACCATGCGATACAGGCTTGTATACCATGCGATACAGGCTTGTATACCATGCGATACAGGCTTGTATACCATGCGATACAGGCTCGTATACCATGCGATACAGGCTCGTTACCATGCCATACAGGCTCGTATACCATGCCATACAGGCTCGTATACCATGCCATACAGGCTCGTATACCATGCGATACAGGCTCGTATACCATGCATACAGGCTCGTATACCATGCCATACAGGCTGTATACCATGCCATACAGGCTTGGCTACCATACAGGCTCAAAATCAACTTGTATATTTTTTTTTTAAAGATTTTGATTAAGAAATAGAATGAAATGATATTAACAATAAAAATGTTATGGTTAAACTGGATACAAATCTATGGTGAAAAAAGTTTAATGGTGTACTCAGGCAAAATTATCACTTTTACATCTAAAAATGCTCAATTCATTTGTCTTTTCCAACCTTACTACATTTTAGTGTAATTGTAGGCCTTGTACAGTCTCTTACCCCTCTATAAATCATCTGTACATTCTAGAGGTCAAATAGAAGATATACATACATATATATAATATAATTTTAAAAACTGTGTCTGTAAAATGTCTACTTAATATTAGTGTAAGAAAACTAGCGTTGGTAATGTTTATTTCTGTTGATGTTGTGTCAATGTATAACATATTATGGGATACCTTGGCTTTCCACCTCACTGCAATTATGGATTTCTTTTTTCATTGAATCATTGCGACTTGTGTGCAGAACTCAATACCTGAATGGTAGATAAGGTTACATAATTGTATGATCACTAATCTTGGAAAAGCTGTTGACAAACCTGAAATTTGTTCATACTTTGAAATATTTATTATTACTTCCTGCAACAATTAGCATTCATAGCAAGTAATCTGTAGTAGTGAAACTGACATTGTCTATTTACATATCTCCAAATTGTTAGAGAACTTGACTATCAGAAGTGCATGTCAGAATAGTTTTTGTATATAGTAACTTTAATTGTTGTAATTGGTTAATTCTATTTCTCCTACCATTTGATAATCTTACAACAATGACATTGGGGACACACTTTTATTTTATCATTTCCACGTCTTGAGATGGAATGAGTTCATGAGGCAAAGATTGTGAAATTTTGTTAACAGGGTTTTACATTTGATTTTAAAATGTACATAGCATGTACAATTCGCTAAGTTGTAATTATGAATTCTGTATTTGTTGTTAGCACTATCTCTACCCAATATCAAATAGCAGTGACAGTACAGTGTTTTTGTTTAGCTACTACATGGCAACAAGTTCGCATGCACAAGTTTGTATTGTGATTTATTTTGCGAGTAAACAGTCAGTCACCCAGAAATGGACAGAGATACTGCAGTTGTGTCAGGAGGTATGGTTCATTCGTTTCAAATGCAATGTATATTACATTTCATTTTTTTTGAAAATATTCTAATTTCATTACATAACATGATCAATACAGACAGTGCAGGGTAGATTAGGATATTTGAATTCAACTTCAAATACTGTCGACAATTCTCTTTAATATTTAAAAAACTAAGTGTCTGGAAAAATGGATTTGCCAAGTTCTGAAATAAGTTTGGCCTTGGAAATAATTACAGATATTTAGTAATTTGACTCGTGGTTTGAGTTACAAAGTATAATTTTTTCAACAAAAGTGCAATGTAATTTTTTTAGTTGAGTAAATGTATTGATACGGAAGTGTATTATACTTCTTATTAGTGTTGAAATCTTTAAAAAAAATCTTTTAAATTTCTTAGCTCAAAGCTTATTTAATGGTTTTTTTTGCAACTGTCTCACTGGCTTTGAATCAGAGAATACAATGTTATGTAAAAATGCATAGCAAAATGAACCATTGGTGATACTGTAATGGCTGTGTAATTGTTTTAATTTTGCACTTAATTTATACAAAGTAAATTGGTTTCTCGTATATTTGTTTAACAGTATGAATATGATGTACATTATTATCAGTAAATAAAATGTCTTAACATGCAATTTATATGTATTTCAATTTGTCATTGAAGTAGATGCATTTTCAAATTGTGCATTTCTTCATACCATATTATCTCTATTAGAATCTCCAATATACATGTAAGCCAACAGTTTCATATATAGTATACTGGATTCTTAAAATAATAGTAATTTATTTTGACCATAGACACACCTCTGTTATTTACGTAAACGCATGCACCTCTAATACAATGTAAAGTAAATAGGGTAATATATTTGTCGCCCTTGTCAATCTACAAAATTCAATTACATTTTTTGTGTCATTATTTTTTGACAAAGTTTGACAATCCAAACAAATCGGGGTTCCTGTGAGAGTCTTTAAAGCAAAGAAGTCATCACCTGTGCATGCGAGAAATGGCCATAACGTGTTGAGCTATTGCTTTTTCACTGTGCATTGTTATCGTCACTAAGAACTTGCATGTACACTCTATTGTCCTTCATTTTATGTTAATTTTACGTTCGGATCGTTTATCCGAACGATCAATTAACCGAACAAATACGTCACTGCCCACTGTGTTCGGATAATCAAGGTTTGACTGTACACAGGTGACCCCCCCCCCCACCTCCACCTTGAACTGTCTGGGTCCAGCTTTGTGTCCTCAAATATTCATATGCTTAATGTGTCGGGATCATATGTACTGGGTTACAGGTGCACATCATTTTAACAACTGTTTGTCTTACCTTGCATGATTTCACTTTTTAGTAATTCAACCAAATATGCTCGGCCTGTTAAGGTACATAGCAAGCAACGAGTGATTGCAACATGGCACTATTTAACCAAAAGTACACCTACACTCTTTGATTGCTGTTAGTGATGTTAAATAAATAACAATGCTTGTCCATGATATTTTGGACTCTTTTTATCTCAAACTCTGGATCGTCAGGTCGCTTGTTTCAATTCAGTTCAATTTTGGGCGAGTCATACTTATGAAAACAAGCGAAATAAAAATATAGAAATAGCTGCACTGTCCTACAAGAACGTTGTGGTGGCCAAGTCAAAAACAGATTGTGTCCACCCCCCAAAAAATCCACCCTAAAGCAATTGAGCTGGCTGTTTTAAAGAAGTCGAAATTAGCATTTGTTACCAAAAATTACAAAAATATTCGCCAAAAATACAAAATTGAAGATATCGTCTCGAAATGAACAAATCTGACAGTGATCCACCTAAGACACCTACACACCAAGTATCAAAGCAATTAGCTGGCAGATTTCAAGAAAAAGTTGAAAATACAATTGCTGACAGACGACGGACAACCAATGAACAGCTCCGCTCTGTCATATACGATGACAGCGTCGTTAAAACAATTCCAAAAGCAACCGAAAAGACACAAGTTTTCACATTTTCGTCGATCAAGGTTCATTTATTCGGCCAACTCACCATAATACCTCGGCAGAATTCCCACTATTTACTGTCTACGAAATCAAAAACAACAGCACGGCTCTGGTGCGTTTACATGCTAAATGAAGTCAAATGTTATGATGCGTTTCCAGGAGAAATCAAACGCAAAGTCA